AATGTAGTGTCACATCAACATAAGCTAATCTGACCCAACTTGCATGTTGCAAAAAGAAATGGCTAACACCTTGATGTTATTCAAAAAATAAGGAAAATAACAGGAGAAGAAATGGCCATGCATTTAAATCCCACTTATTTTGTCATTAAATAAAATGGTCTGTTGCATTTATGCCAACACCATAAATAGCCCAAATAATATTGTATCATCAACATATACTAGTTTAACCCGCTGCTAGATGGTTGCCAGGTGGCCAATGGTATCATAATACATTAAGTATAAATGGAGTTTTGTGGAGCTAAATTAGATTTTACTGCGGTGAAATAGAGCTGATATAATGCTTTTATAAGCTGTTACATAAATGTTAAAAACTGGTCATGTCAGCCCGTTGCTACAGGGTGATGATGATGACATCTTAATATCTGCTATAGATAAGAACCTTCAGTCTCTTATGAGTTAGCGCAGTTTTCATGTATTACAGTTATTAAATAACTTCTGGAATCATCATTACCACAAAACTATGTAAACTATGTAAGGCTAGTTTCCTCTATTGTTTTTAATAGCCTAAACATGTAAATACGTGAAATAACCTTCATCATGCAATCAACTAAAGCTAAGATTCTGAGTGTTTAGCAGCTGAGTTTAAATATGTTGTGTGTAAAGTGTACAGTTCTTTACATCATTGAAGGAGTGGCCATATGTAAAGTCTCCTGAAGAAAACGTGCTAATGAAAAAGTACTGCTAATACACCAGGAACAAGCACTCACTGATGCTGATGAGTGTATCAGTGTTAGTGGTGTAGATACAGTATAATAGTGTTAAAGTATGAGCAGCCAAGTGTTAACAAAACAGAGTTGACAACTTCAGCAAATAAGGGAGACAGTTCTCAGACATAAATGTATTAATTACTGATTTGCAAGTGATGAGACAGAGTGAGAGGCGCTGGAGAAGTTGATGGCATGACTCAGAAATTACGTCAGCATGAAGTACTGAGGAAAGGAGCTGCAGAGATTTGGGAAATATATTTAGATTGAAGCTGGTGATGTTTGGAGGGGTGGGGTGTGGGGGGGCAGCTAGTTTTTAGTACTGTGTGAATCACATTTGCATTTTTTATTAATCCGAAGGAAGCTCCACGCACCTGCAAAAACACTGGGAGATCATGAGATTTTTTTATATTCAGTAGATGATGGCAAAGACAGAAAGAAACCGAAGTACAATAAGCAAGCTTTTACTCTTGAGAGAATTTAATTGTTTGGTAAACTTAATTTCTCAAGAAGTAGCATCAGCATCAAGCAGCTGCTTGATAGCTCATAAAGAATTAAAGAAGTAAATAAAAAATCAAATATCCATCATTTGCCAATTTGTGCTACTTTAAGGCAAGAATCACCCACAGCAAGTGGAGGAAAGAGAGAGGAGTTCAGAAGTGATGACCACAGAACGTAACCCTGGCTCGTTCTTCTCACTGTATCTTAATAAAGCCTCACAGTCTATTCTGCCCTTGTCAGCGCTTGTTAACCTGCAGATTGATTCTTCTGAACTACTGTACATCTTCTTTAATTAAAGTCACCGGCTAATCTGGCTTTCCACCAAGCTGTGTAGCTGTCATCACACGACGATTGCAGTTGAATATATCCCATTAGATTTGCATGCATTGAAAAAAGGAGAGGTAAAGTGATCTGAATATTTTAACGTGCATCAAAAAGCATCAAAACAGAATGTAACCCTGTCTAGTTCTTCTCACTGTTCTTCTCACTGTATCACAATGGAGCCAGTACACTATACTTTCAATATAATTCAATATATAATTGTGTTAAAACCCAGTGAGATGAGATTGTGAATGCCCATCTTAGAAAGCCCCTAAGATCATAAAAAATGTGTGTTTACATCAAAGCAATAACATTTATAAGGATTTTTTAATTAACCTAAATGGCGTTTAATGATACACAAAAGCTTACAAGCACTTAAACACATTGAAATAAACATTTTGTAAGTTACAATTAATAATATGGTGAATGCTAGTTTCACTATGAATAATCCAGTGAAATCCTTTTACTGGGAAAAACTTTATTTTCACCGTTACCCTGTGAAGAGAAAGAGAAAAACATATATTCAAACCATCACGTTGATAGACTTATTTAGTAATTTGTGCAGTTTTGTCTTTTTTGAAACGTTGATATGCCTTCACTAAATAACAGTGTTTATCACACAATATGAATGTTAATTTTATGCTTGGTTTGGCCAAAAAATTATACATTTGCTAACATATTTGGACAACATATGCCCAAACATTTATTTCCCTGAAGCAGTTATTTCTGGGAAAGAAAGCTTTAGCAGCTGTTAGTTTTTTCGTGTCTTTTTTTTTCCACCCATGCATTTCATGTACAAAAGTAACCAGTAAAAGCACCCATTAACTTACCCCCATTTTACAATTATCAAGAGATCTGTCAGGGACAGTTTCAAGGTTTGGCAGAGTTAATTATATTTAATAAGGGCTCACAAGGAGAGACGGTGCTTTAGTAAATGAGGTAGTAAAAATGCATTTATCTCCCAAAGACAATAAATAGCCACCATCAGGACACAGCATAAGGACACAATACAATATTTCTTCATCCCACACAAGACATGTGTAAGTGACAGTGCTTGGTGCTGTGTGAGAGATGAGAACTGAAGAGAAAAAAGGACCCATTTGTGCATCGATCACTTTTATGCCCCTGGTCTGTTTGCATATTTTAGACCTATAAACAACATGAATGATGTGCCGTGTAATGCACCATAATCGAGATTTATTCGGAGGGTGTATGGGAAGGAGATGTTCATGATCTGAGAATCAGGAGGGGCAGTTGCAGCGGTGTGTGCGTGCTTGTGTGTGTGTGTGTGTGTGTGTGTGTGTGTGTGTGTGTGTG